CATGAGTCCTGATGACTGGGGGCCCGTGCGCAGCACCGACAGGGACAAGGGATACCCCCTCGCCACGTTGATGCAGGTGGTCTACGGCGAGGACATGGGCATGGGAGACGGGTACAGCAGGTGTTTCTCGGTCATGTATCGACTGGCTCTGGAGCAGGGCGCGGTCGACAGTGTGAAAAGCCCTGACGGCACGGTCATCACGGGGTTTAATGATGATCGTGCTGAAAGTCTGCGACAACATCTTACCCCGGGGCAGGAACGATCGTTTTACATTCTCTGGAAATGGTGGGCGACGTGTTCCCGAGTATGTATTGTAGACGAAGCAGAAGAAGAATACGATGATGATTACGACGACCTCTTTGGCGACGACGAGTCTCACTTCTACCCACAAAACCACGTAGAGCGCGAGACGATCCACCAGGCCGGTGGGATCCGGTACAAACTCGGCTTCAACTGCGTCTACAACAAGTGCATGGCAACGCTGTTCAATGCTGAATTCGAGAACTTCGTAATACACCGAAGCGGCGACGAGCTGGTGAACCTCCGACGGGACTTGGCGCAGGAAGCTGCTTGTCTAACCATTGCGATTGAAGCTTGCTCCCCACGAAGCCACACCCAACAGTCAGCTCAAGTACCATACTCCCCAGACGGCGAGAGTTATCTCGCTCACCGGTCAGAGAGTTCCCCGGTCTGGCGCGCAGGGAGACGAGTCCTGGGGAGCAGTGACCTATCCGGGCTGGATCCTCGCTGCAACGCCGGCTCCGGTATCGATTCCTGCCCCTGGCTGGGAGAGATCCGCGGGTTCCCGCTTTACTTGTGGGATGTGAAAGAGCGGAGGACCGTGGAGGTATTTTCGCTGTGGGACGAATACGATATCGACATCCCGTACACAGCCATCAGTCACACCTGGGGCCGGTGGCGGCAGCGCGATCAGCCCGGGGTTAACATGAAATCGCGCGTGCCGTGGCTGATCCCGCGGAACTCACTGTTCGATGTCGAGCGGCTACCAGATATCCTGGCGCAGATTCCCACGGATACACCCTATATCTGGTTTGATCTGGTTTGCATTCCGCAGGAGGGCTGCGGGGAGGAGCTTGACGAGCAGCTGCGGCAGGCTATGAGGATGGAGGTCGCGAGCCAGGCATCCATCTTCAAGAGCGCTAAACACGCCATCGCTTGGTGGAATACCGACTCCGCCCCGGAGTCCTGGGACGGCATGCGTAGCGCCATCCAGTGGATGTCCTCCGTATATCTGGATCTCCAGTTCTCGGATGGGGACGAGTCTTCCATACGCATCCCGCCCTGGAAAGCGCACGACCGGCTCCGGGCCACAGGGCTGTTCTCACCGGACATGGCCACCCTACCCTGGTTCAGCTCCCTGTGGACGCTGCAGGAAGTGTGCCTGCGCCCTGACATCTGGATCTGTAACAAGAACCTCGACCTCCTCACGGTAGGCGACAACGGGGCTCTCGTCGCCTTCAATACACTCGTCTCCCTCGCCGAACGAGTAAAAGACACACTCACTAGGGAACTTAACGATCTAACTACCCCAGCAGACCACCTCCTGGAACGCTGGAAGCCCCTCGTCCACCCAGGCTTCCACGAAGTACTCGACCTCCTCCATCGCACAGGAATGGACAACCTCCACGAGCTCAAGCGCGAGCAGATTCTCTTCCTAGCGACCAGCCGATACTGCAGCCACAGCCGTGCGCAGGCGATCATGTCCGTCCTCGGCATGACAGAATGGTGCAACTCCGCCACTGCTATGCCAGAGCAGCGTCAGCCCAACAAACCGGGCTTCGTCTTCGACCAGTACCCGCTCGCCTTCGTGCAGGAGGTCGCGCGCAATCTGGGCTCTAGCTTCTTCATCACCTCCGTTCTGGCGGATTACCCGCCCGTTGACGATGTGAAAACTCAGGACGTAGTCCGGGGCACTATGCTCCCCTTCCGGGCCCAGATCTCCGAGCCGCGACGCCTGTGTGTGTCGCGCTTAGAGACGGCGGACCATCCGTCCGTATTGACGTGGGAGGTCCGCGGCGATGGGGCGGTGTTCCTACCGGAGGTGGAGATCCTCTTCTCATCCAATAGCGACTATGGCGATATCAAGTATATGACATGCTTTGTCGATTTGAGTATGCCAGTGCCTGAACATATTGTTGAACGGGAGCAGTTCCAACCCCAAAGGAGCATGTATCATGGGGATCTCCGGTACTGGATTAAACAGCTCATCCCGGAGATCTACGGAGTGCGTGGGACGTACTATGCTATTCATCTCCGGTACCGACCCGGACAATGGGATGGTTTGTTGTTGAAGGCCGCCGGTAGTGGGGACTCTTCGCAGTCGGAGAAGATGATCAAAATCGGGAATCTCCATGTGCTGACTTTGGTGGGAGATGGGGAATATCTGCCCAGGCGTAAATCAGTGAACGTTAACTGGATTGCTTTGTAGACTCGGATCTTTGTTATTACGATTGCCTCATCATATCGCACAATCTGTCTCCGTATACGCTCTAGAACAGCTATACGGCTAGACCTCTCAATAGCTCACAAAGCCCATAGCCCAGCCCATAGCCCAGCCCACCAAATGGGCTGGGTTTGGGGCCCATTGGTGGGTCGTGGGCCCAGAATGAAAGCCCGCAAAGCCCATAATGGGCCCTGAACAATACAAACGTGCGAATTTACGTAGCTGTATAATTAATGCATTTTTCTCTGGGTTTTTTTTGGTATTCAAATTACCACCTGGGCGATACATGAAGCTATACAGAAATCTTCTTCCTATAAGCTTATAAGTTAACTTATAAGATGCAAAGTTTAATTTTTATAAAGCTTTATTTTTTATAAGGGGTACTTATTTTTATTAGGGAATTACATAGTAAGTAGAGGTACCATTAGTGCTAGCTACTATAATTGACACCTGGTAATAGACCCAATATATATCTCTCTTCATACTAATACTCAGGTCATATATTTGCTTGGGCTCCTAGGAGCGACCGCAGGCAGCAAAGCCCTTATCATCGGAGGAAGTGAAACAAAAAAAGAAGCGTGCTGTGGGCCAGCCGGAGCATCCAGGGTGACCGACCAGGGTGCTCAGGGAGCAGCTCAGGGCGGCAGGGAGACTAACTCAGGTTGGGCTCCGGAAGCCGATCGCTTCCAGAGGCGACAGTGTTACACCTTTATTACACTTAGACAACCTAGCTCTTTGATCTCTTCTCTACTCCATGTAGATGTGATGCCGACATGGATTAGTAAGCCTCGGTGGCAATCCATTTACAGCCCCCCGCATTCCCAAGGTTCCAATCTTAAGAGACCAAGAAGGGAAGTCTGTTGTTCATTTTCCTATCTCAACTTCCCTTGGCTACGGAGATGGAGGGCAATATTCGGACTTGCACCGATAACTCTCATTCTAGCCTGTCGCTGCCTCGACCAGGATATCAGACGGAAAAGCGCAGGCTATTACTGATTTATATCCATGGCTTCATGGGATCAGAAGCTAGCTTTCATGACCTTCCACTGCATGTTCATGATCTGTTGACGGGCTCACTGACGGAGTCGCACGTGGTGTACACCCGCATGTATCCAAGATACAAGTCTCAAGGCGAGATACAAACAGCGGTGGATCAATTTAGCACTTGGTATGTGATCACCTTACAGAAATTTCCTTTCTAGGCGGTTTTTTACATATACATAAATAAAAAAATACATGTACTAATAAAAAACACTTGTAGGCTATCACCGCATGAGGCAGATGACCTGGATGTTATCTTGTTAGGACATAGTCTCGGCGGAATCCTAGCTGCCGACGTTGCGCGTCTACAACAAGACGAGCAACCCAAGCATCGAATTTTGGGAGTGGTGGGTTTTGATGTCCCCTTTCTGGGCATCCATCCTCGCGTAATACCAACAGGAACTATGGGATCAATGCCTAGGAAAGACCCTGCAGCTGAAGACAAGCTTGCAGGAGAACAAGAATCCCTGGGCTTGAACCCAGCCTTTAAACCGGCTCCTTCAAATCCTAACTTTGACCCACCTTTTATGAACGATGTGCATCTTGTTGATCGTGGCTTCCTCAAGGGTATTATGCATTTTGTCAACAAAAACACAGACAATCTCTCGCGATCTATCTTCGATCGTATCGTATCACCCTTGAAATTTGCTGGCTGTGTCAATAATTACTCTGAACTTCGTCAGCGGTACCGAGACTTGATGGAGCTGGAATCTGCCGAGTCCAGCCCCTGGAGAGTACGATTTGTCAATTATTATACCACAAGCACCGGTCGCAAGCCGCGGAAGTCCAAGACGAAAGCCGAAAGGAGCGCCGAAAAGAAAGCTGCAAAGGCTACAAAAGAAGAGAAAAAGGCTGCGAAGAAAATCGGAGCTGATATGGATAAAGGTGCAACGGAGGTTCATGCGCAGGAATATTCAGAGACGCCAAGTTCCGAAGAAACTGAAATAACCACTTCCATGAGTGACATGGCAATAAAAAGAAAGCCCTTGAAGACCGTCGCTTCTAATTCTTCCCTGGTAACGGAAAAGGCCAACGATGGCAAGGATTCTCCGCTCGCGGATGATACAAACACCGCATCGTCTATCTCAGTCTCAGTCCCAACGCAGGAGTCCCTCTCAGGAAGCATTTCCCTCTCGACAGAGAGTGGCTCCATCGCAACCACGCAGTCCTCGGACCCTTCTAAACAACACCTTCGCAAGTTCATTCTCCTGCCGTCACATCATTGGAAATACAACGATAACTCCCATTGGGAGCCAATCTTAATGGAGGACATGGACGAAGTCATGGCACATCAGTCTATGTTTATCCCACAGGGTGCAAACTACGATCACCTTGTTGGAAATAGCGTTGGGCTAATTGAGCAATGGATTGAGAACGACCTTAGTCGACGATATCTCCAAGAAGGTCTTGACTAAAGATGTCTTGTTATTTAGTGATCCAACCATGTAAATACATATTTAATAGATTGTCTCTTTTCTTTCCCCAGAAGTTAACCTCAATTATCCCATGAGGTAGTCTTCGAAAGCAGCCATCCGTCATTTTGCAGGTTTTGGAAAACACTCTGGGGGTCGACCTTCTTCGCAACAGATTTAAGCTTGCTCAAATTTTCAGATCCATAGGCAGCCAGCGGATCCTGGTCTCGTGAAGCATAGTTTGAATACTTGAAATCAAGGTAAGTCCCATTCTTCTTCGCAACGGCTTCGGCTTGGTCGACAATCTTGCGGCTTGCAGCCAGCATAGTAGCCTCGTCCTCTGGGTTCAACCAGTCCAGCATAACCAGCAGCCCTGGCCAGAGTCAGTAATCTGGGAAATCTATTGGATTTCATATACGTACACTGTTGTGGCTCTGCCTTTAGGCCTAGAGGATTGCCCCCTTGGTTATCGCAAGCCCTAGAAGCGCTGGACGAAATAGGTTGAATATTCATTATAATACGAGCTCCGGGGACACTTTTCACGGCTTCCAGTTGCTGTAGACGGCATGCTTCAATGGCGTTGTAGACATCGAGGTCAGGACGACTTGTCATCACTCGCATATCGTGGCTGGCCAAGAAATAATTAGAAAGGAAGGCAGGACAGACACTGGGACAAGCGGTACCTCCTAGGTTCAGTAGCAGTAACACCTGCGAAGACATTAACAATCTCAAAGATTGTGTAGACCTTAGATGGCACCACCCGGGTTACACACTCGATCTTATCAAAGGCGTCGAAGACAGCTGGTTTCTGCTCAACCGGGTCGGCATAAAGGAAAATGAACAGTGTAGCGTCCTCCATGAAGTGGCATATTAGATTAGCTTTGGAGTCATTTTCGCTTGCTCCATGGTAATCCATGATGGCTTTGAAGAGATTCGCATTTTCTCCGGGCGCGTAGATTAGACCTTCGCACCATATTTTGTTGGGAAATGTCGACATGGTGACTTTCGTCACGACGCCTATTACCAATAAGAGATTAGAACAGAGCAATATGTTAATTAAATTAAGATAGCCTTACCAAAGTTAGGACCTCCGCCTTTCAGAGCCCAGAAGAGGTCCTTGTTGCTAGTAGCGTTGACCTTGGCAACTGTCGAGTCTGCCAAAACGATCTTCGGTCCAATCAGCATCTCTAGTCAGCACAAGAAAAGCTCTGTCGCCATTTACCTCATATTCCACAACTCCATGAGAGCTCAATCCACGCTCACTATTCTGAAATGCTAGACCTCCCCCCAGAAGCAGGCCAGCCACGCCCACGGAGGGCTGGCGTCCTCCAGTCACTGTGAGTCCATACTCTTGGAGAGCTTTATAGACATCAAACCAGGTTTGACCGATTCCAATATCTGCTGTCAAGCGATCTTCAGAGAGGGTGACAGCGTTGAATTTCTTCATCAAGAGAACCACGCCGCCGTCGTTACTCGTGAACCCTGGATTGTGAAGATGGCCGCCACTGCGGATGGAGAATTTTATGTCGAGAAATCGACAGAGCGCAAGAGCTTTGCCCACATCCTGAGGAGTTTGCGGAGTAACAATAATACCGGGAGTGAGCTGACAGTTGATAGACCTTTCAATGGGAGATTAGATGTGCGGAAAGTAGAGGATAGTGGGATTGAGTACCAAGTTGTTTCCTTCTGCTCGGAGAAATTCACATCGCTCTGTACTATAGCATCATCTCCAAAGACAAGAGGGAATAATTTCTCTGCCGTACTTAAGCGATAAGTAGCCTTGTCAGCATCGCTCAGGGTAAGGAACTGGGTAAGTATAGTTTCAGCATCGATATTCCTGTCCGGAATCTGAAGAATTGCCAAAAGATTCGAAATATCTGCCATCTTGGATAGTAATCACGATTGTTTCTTCTTTGGAGGGGCAATGTTTCCTGAGTGTTTTGTGGGAATAATGGCAAAGTACTAGTAACTCCGGGATTCTCCAGCGGCCGACTCCATAAAGCACGACACTAGAAGAACCGCCCGTCTTGGCTGGACAGCGTACATTCTCATTCGTGCGAGCCCGGTAGCTGTCCAACACGCAAAATAGAAATGGATATTTGGGCTCCAATGCATTGATTCAATCTCCATTTCATTTGTCTTTTCGTGTGGGCCAAGTTCTCCAATTTCCCATTATCTGGCTCTACCGTGCCCACGCGTTATGCGATATTGGGACACACCATAGGAGCTTAATGAAATAAGGCTGAAAACAATATGAAGTAGTTACCTAGTATATGCCAGTCTCAAAGCTAAGGATATTGGGGTAGGAAGGCAAGGAGTGTAGATGTTTCATGCCAACAAAAGAAACTGGAATTGCGAGGCCAAACTCCAACCAATAGAATCCGTACACCGCACGTGACTTGTCAAAAGCGAAAGACCAATCAGGCATTGTACGGAGACCCACCTTTTGTATACCCTCAAGGAAAGACCTCGAAGGGAAAAAGAGATATGGAGCTTCTCTTTGATTGAGCGTGTCATCCCTATGGCAGGGGCCATGCTAATCTTCTCTGTATTTTCAGTTGACCATATGCCCCGAAGGGCGAAAGGTACACCATTGGAGTTTAATATAATCTCACATTAGTGCCATATTATACCGCCTGCCCGTTTAGTATGGATATGGCGGGTGATGGGGCATGTAGGCAGAATCACACCAGACCGCCTACTTTATTGACAATCCAATCCACTTTAAAGTACTTAACTTTAAAGCACGTGAAGGAACGTGATTGCATTGTCTTTCTGGAGTTTCAATGATTACATACCCACTTTGCTGTATCGAATAGCATATCGCTGAAGATCATGCAGGGAAGGAAAGCTTGCACAGTACCCACTTAGCAGATGCAAATCAATTACTAGATCAAGCCCACACGTGACTGAGTGGGGATATTGTCGTCACAGCTTCCACTACCGCTTAGCAACTGTCGTCCCCGCACTCCCGACTCTGCAGCATACAGCATACAGCATGAGTGGCTTACGCAATACTATAAAGGGTGGATGGCACCCTGAAGGCAAGGATGGTGGAAAGGAGAGCTGGCGTGGTGATTTCAAAGGTGTTAACCAAGTGGTAAGCCTATCCCTCCCTCTGGGACTCGCACCTCGGCCATTGATGCTGACTTGTATTTGCTATTAGGCTGGGTGGATGGGAAAGGGCAAGGAAAGTGACTCTTCTGGCTCTAGGTCTGGAAAGGACGCCGAACCACAAGGGGGTATCAGAGGCTCCGTGGTAAGCTTTCCCCTCAACCCTCTCAGACTCGCACCTCGGCCATTGATACTGACTATACTTGCTACTAGGCTGGGTGGATGGGAAAGGGCAAGGAAGGCGACTCCTCTAGTTCTGGACAGGGCTCCTCATCACAAGGGGGTATCAGGGGCCAAGTTCGGGGCCAAGTGGTGAGCTTACCTTTCGTGTATTCATGACTCGGCCATTCGTGTTAACCTTTGCTTGTTTTCAGGCTGGCTGGATGGGAAAGGGCAATGACTCCAACTCCAACCGCTCTGATCATGTCTCACAACCATTGTCAGCCCTAAAAGACCCATCTTCCTTTGGGCCGCCTCCCAAGCATATCAATTACCATGGAGCAGCCGCGGTGCCAAATCAGACCACACCCGACCGCCGGGGCATCGGAGCCCCACTGTCCCAGGATCAGATAAACGCTCATGAGGCCTATCGACGAGAAGCAGCCGAAGCAGAGGAGGAACAGGCCCAAAGGCCCGCCCCGCCTCCGGTCCCGTATCGCGTCGACACCAGCGGCCTTTCTACAAACCATCTCCCTCCGCCACCAGTGCGGCGAGTGGATTCGGCAAGTTCCCCCTCAACAAACTCAATCTCCAAGTCAAACCCACCAAAGCCCCCGCCACGGCTTCCTGCCCGCAATGGATCTCCCAGTTCCGATGTGCCGCCCGCTTACTCCCCTACACCGGTACTCTCCCATGATTACATCAATCAAGATGCTACGTCCCGCCTAGCAAATGCGGGCGTCTCGGTTCCTGGATTTGGGATAGGCCAGGAGAAATCTTCGTCGCCTGCACATACGCCTGTCAATGAGCTGCAGTCACGTTTCTCCCGGATGAATACCTCGGGATCTCCATCAGCACCCACCCCGCCTGCTCAGGCCTCGACGAACATCCAACCGCAATCTGCGAGCAGCCCATCTTCTCTCCAGAACTTCCGCGAGCAGCACGCAGGGTCCATCGACTCGGGAAAACAAAAATACGGTGACTTCCGAGAGCGTCATGCGGATACCATCGATTCGGGGAAACAGAAATACGGTGATTTCCGTGAGCGTCACGCGGATACCATCGATTCGGGGAAACAGAAATACGGTGATTTCCGTGAGCGTCATGCGGACTCAATCGATTCAGGCAAACAGAAGTTGAGTGGTTACGCGTCGCGGTTCACTGGCTCTTCTCCAGCGCCTAGCCCACCGGCCCGGCCCGCGTCTAATGCTTCTAGTATGAACTTGGAACCGGCCGAGCCCGCACGGGGCACCTCCTCTGTGCAAGATTTCCGTGAACGCCATGCCGACAAGATCGACATGGGTAAGGAGAAGTGGAGCGGAGTCACATCGCGCTTTAACACATTTGTGGAGGACCGCAAGTTCTCCGCCGATGCCAACAAGCGAATTCCACGCCCACCTTCTCGTCCCATCTCCATGGCCCAGTCGAACTCTCCAGTGGCATCGCCCATAGAGCCCGATCTACAGACTCAAGCTCAACGCAAGAAGGCCCCCCCTCCACCACCTCCTAAGCGGGCTGAATTCCGTGCGTCCCCTGTTGACGCTTCGTCGCCGTCACTTCCGGGGCCTCCTCCCGTTCCCCATAGCACCAAGCCTCGCTAAGGACTGTACTTTTAACCGTGTAAATGTGTATGTTTTGCATTCCTGGCGTTGAGTGTGTGTTTTTATTTATTTATTACGATGGAAATCGAACAATTTTGTCATGATGACGCTACGTGCAGACTTACCCTGTACGATGTACAACTGTTGTACGTCATACATAGTGTCCATATCGGTGAGTCTCTCATACACATTGGTAAGACCGAGGCTGCATGTGATTTTTCTTATATCTGATCGCATATCCCCAACTTGTTGGGATTAAAGCGCAAATCTCCCAACAAGAAGCTGATCCCAGTGATCCTTGCAGGGGTTACTTGCAATTACTTGCAAGTCTTTTTTTCGCAGGTCAAAACCTTAGCAAAGATGTTCCGAACTTTGAACCTTGTTTAGCTGACTCAGCGTTTTCCCCGGGGACTATGTACAACATAGGGCTGCCAGGGCTGAGATGTCCAGATGTCATACTCATCCTTGTCCAGGCTTTTATTTTCAAAATGGGAATTACATGCATTTCAACCTTGGAACCTTGGAACCTTGGAAAATTGGAAGGTTGGAAGGTTGGCTTACATCATCCCCCCAAGTGGAAGATGAATTTCCTAAAAGAATGCACTTGTTACATGTCTACTCTATACAAAGATATTGTAATGGCCAAAGAAATGTATATTCAACCCTTTAGCAAGTGGCGATATTCCAAGATTTACCTCGGCATGTCTCATGGCCAAGCCTTGGAATTCCCAACAAACTAGACGCGGACGGATCGAGATCGTCCAAGGTTGTTGAGAAAATCAAAAGGGTTATCTGGATCCACTAGGACTTCAACGTCTTTTTTTTTTCTTCTTTCTTGTCTTCAGAAATCATATATCTTTTCTTTTATATAAAGATTTTTTTAAATACCACTTTGCTTTTGTGACGCGTTGAATTGATTCCGCGTGGCGATCATGCACGACTTCAACGTGCCTACCAAGTTTGGCCAGGCCATTGTTCGCATTGCCTTCCCTCCAGCCTCTCTCCTCGCCTTCCCTCCCCACGAGCTTCCAGTGACCATCCCGGCGCCTCACGTCGATACCCCGACATGGAAGCAGCCCTTCAACATCCCGAACGATCTCTACAACAAGGTGCTGGATGTCCGGCTACCAATTACAATCGCCAGTGTCTATGCGATCACTGTGGTCCTGCTCAATCGCATCAACAAGAGCCGCGGATATAAGCCATGGGCGTTCAGCAATACCCGCTTGTTCAAGCTGTTCGTTGTTCTCCACAATGTCTTCCTAGCTGTGTACTCCGCATGGACCTTCGTGGGCATGTTCCAGGCTTTCAGAAGCTCCTTCCCGGATAGTGACGATCCCCACGGACTGGTTGGACTTGTGGACTCGCTGTGCAAGATCAATGGACCCCGTGGTTACGGCAATGCCGCTATCTACAGCCCCATCACTGACGAGTGGTCGATTCCCAACCCTGCCTTCCACCTCACCAACGGCATGCCCGACCCCACGGATGCCGGCCGTCTGTGGAACCAGGGCTTGGCTTACTTTGGCTGGTTCTTCTATCTCTCCAAGTTCTACGAGGTTGTCGACACCGCGATCATTCTGGCCAAGGGCAAGAAGAGCTCCACCCTACAGACCTACCACCACGCGGGAGCTATGATGTGCATGTGGGCTGGTATCCGCTACATGGCTGCGCCCATTTGGATCTTCTGCCTGGTTAACTCGGCTATTCATGCTATGATGGTAAGTGTCGAACGATCGGATTGAACTTGATTTGTTAGGCCAAGTTTTCTAATTTTTTTTTCTTCGCTACAGTACACCTACTACACCCTCACTGCCCTCCGCATTCGTGTCCCCAATGCCATCAAGCGTAGCTTGACTACCATGCAGATCACCCAGTTCGTCTTTGGAACCAACATGGCTGCCGCCTACCTATTCGTCCAGTACACTATTCCCTACCCTTCCGGTAGCGCCGCCCTGCAGCAGCTGACCGATGCCGCTTCCGCCGCCGCCTCTGCCACCGCCGAGGTTGGTTCGATCTCCTGGTTGAAGAAGCTGGCATTCCGGGCTGCGGGCGCTGAAGGACTTGCCGAGAACGTCGGCACTTCGTTCCACGCCGCGCCTGTCCAGCAATCCGGCTACTCCCAGCAGATGGTGACCTGTGCCGACACCACCGGACAGGCATTCGCTATCTGGCTGAACGTCTCCTACCTCCTGCCCCTCACCTACCTCTTCGCACGCTTCTTCGTCCGCTCCTACCTGAACCGCAAGGACCCCGGAGTGAAGCAGCCCACTCACATGGAGGCCGCTGAGAAGGCCGGCATGGATGCTCTGAAGAGTCTAAGCCGCGAGATTCGCAAGGCTGCCATTGAGGGCGAGACCAGCGAGGTTACTACCGATGATGAGGTCATCAAGGCTCAGGCCCAGAAGGTCGCCAACAAGATCACCCTTGACTCGCCCATCCGCACCCGCTCGGCTGCTGCTTCCAAGGCCAAGGCTGCCTCGGCGTCGGTCGGCCGCTCGGAGTCCGAAGAGGGCTTCGCTAAGGTCCCCGCTAAGAAGGGGGCTAAGAAGCAAAAGGTCGAGAAGGAGTCTCCTTCCAGCAGCCCGAATACCAATGGCGAGAACCCATTCGGCGTATTGGATAACAATGCTTGAATGCCTTGGAAAGTGTTGACAGATTCCTATACCGCATAAATTTGGAGTTTGGGGGTTAAAAAATGATTTGATGCTCCGCTATGATAGCTTTTGCTTGTGTTCGCCGTTCAGGACTTCCCTGGAAGTATGTCCTTGCCGGCCCGGTGTGTTTGGGTCATGGGGTATCTTCGGGGAATCATTGACTACCCGGAGTATCTGGCCCCAGCCTCGGCTATCCGAGTTTCATAGAGTGAGTGACTGGACGGCTTTTGATTTGATTTTACAGCGCCTTCGAGTGTATTCATAGCAGCGTTTTTGCTGTACCAGCGTATACTATTATGTATATTTTTATCACGGTGTATCTATAATATAAAAAGTCTATGGTTGTCCTCCGGAGTAATCGCGCAATGTGAATGGAGGAAAAACCCCAGGTTGATATATGTCCGCCGGTGGGCTTAGCTTTGACAATGCGGAGTCGCCTACATGTCATACACCTGTAGCTAGGGTTTATATATTTTTTTTCTCAGCATTGAGTCGATGAAATGCCCAACACAGTGGGTTGAGTTTTGACGCAGACTATCGCGATTACATTGCTTAACCCAGAAGATCGATTAATACTTTTGCGGTGTGTACGTGCTATGCATAACTCCATCACGACAAATGTGGGGTTTCTCCGTCGAACCCCCGGAGATTCCACAAATCCAGAAGGGAAAATAAACATCCGACAGCTTGCTTAGGCCCTAGCGAACGCCGCATTTACTCTAAATTCAGTGGCTAGTTGGGAAATATAAATCGATGATAGCCACCTCGGCAATGTCTCAAAGCATTCAAGCAGTCCAAGAGCGGTCCACGGCCCAAGATGACGCGCATCTTCAATTGCCTGCTAGTCCTCCTAGCTTGTCTGGGAGTCGCAACCAAAGCAGACGACCAAGCCGTCACGCAATGGCCCCTGCAAGATAACGGCCTCAACACGGTCGTACAATGGGACCACTACAGCTTCCAAGTAAATGGTCAACGCATCTTCATCTTCTCCGGTGAATTCCACTACTGGCGCATCCCCGTTCCAGCCCTATGGCGCGACATCCTCGAGAAAATCAAGGCAGCCGGCTTCACAGCTTTCGCCTTTTACTCCAGCTGGGCGTATCACGCACCGAACAATGCGACAGTGGACTTCACAACCGGACCCCGCGATATCACACCCATCTTCGAGCTCGCCAAGGAATTGGGTTTGTACATCATCGTCCGACCCGGCCCGTACGTCAACGCTGAAGCCAATGCTGGCGGCTTCCCGTTGTGGGTGACTACGGGTGAGTATGGCACCCTCCGCAATGATGACGACCGCTATACGAATGCCTGGACGCCGTACTTCACCGAAGTGACGGAGATCACTAGCCGCCACCAGGTAACTGATGGCCATAACTCCATCGTTTATCAGATTGAGAATGAGTATGGGATGCAATGGCTGGGTGATCCTTCCCTGCGTGTGCCAAATGAGACCGCCATTGCTTATATGGAGCTGCTCAAGGCCAATGCCCGTGAGAACGGCATTACGCTGCCGCTGACCGTGAACGATCCTAATATGAAAACGCACTCGTGGGGAAAGGACTGGTCTGCTGGGACTGATGTCGGTGGGAATGTTGATGTCTCTGGTGTGGACTCGTATCCTTCGGTATGTGTTGTTTCATCTCTCCGGCGAGAGGGAGGATGGGGAAAGAAGGGAATGAACAACAAAAACTAATCAGTTTCTGTATCAGTGCTGGACTTGCGATCTCAGCCAGTGCACCTCCACCAACGGCCCATACGTCCCGTTCCAGGTCCTGGACTACCACGATTACTTCCAGGAATCCCAGCCCAGCATGCCCGGTTTCATGCCCGAGTTCCAGGGCGGCTCATACAACCCCTGGGGTGGACCTGAAGGCGGCTGCCCTGATAATATCGGTGACGACTTTGCCAACCTATTCTACCGCTGGAACATCGGGCAACGGGTGACAGCAATGTCCTTGTACATGATGTTCGGTGGTCAAAACCACGGTGCCATGGCTGCGCCGGTGACAGCTACCAGTTACGACTACTCGGCGCCGATCTCAGAAGACCGGTCGATCTGGTCGAAGTACCATGAGACTAAATTGCTGGCATTGTTCACTCGCTGTGCGAGAGATCTGACAATGACCGAGTTGGTCGGTAATGGAACGCAGTATACTGATAACTCCGCTGTGAGGGCGTATGAGCTCCGGAATGCGGAGACAAATGCTGCCTTCTATGCTACTTTCCACTCGAACACTTCCCTCTCGACGAACGAGCCTTTCCATTTAAAGGTCAATACTTCGGTCGGTGCTCTGACTGTCCCTAAATATGCCAGCAATATTCGCTTGAACGGACATCAGTCCAAGATCATCGTGACGGACTTCACCTTTGGCTCGAAGACTCTGCTGTACTCCACAGCCGAGGTTCTGACATATACTGTCTTTGATAAGAAGCCTACATTGGTTCTCTGGGTTCCGACTGGCGAGTCTGGCGAGTTCTCTATCAAGGGAGCCAAGCAGGGTTCTATCAAGAAATGCCAGGGATGTTCGCGGGTCAAGTTCATCAAAGAACATGGCGGTCTGACTACCTCGTTCACGCAATCCACTGGCACGACTGTCCTGGAATTTGATCATGGTGTCAGAGTTATCCTGCTTGATAGAACGGCGGCGTATGACTTCTGGGCTCCTGCACTCACAAATGATCCATTCGTGCCAGAGACAGAGAGTGGTACGTTCTCTTTATCATTCCTCTCATGCTTAAGAGACTAATAATTGCTACAGTTTTCATCCAGGGTCCATATCTCGTCCGTGACGCCAAGCTGTCGGGCTCTAAACTCGCGATAACCGGCGACATCATCAACGCAACAATACTGGACATCTTTGCACCAAAGGGTGTCAAGTCTGTGACCTGGAATGGAAAGAAGGTCCACACCTATTCGACCGAGTACGGCAGTCTCAAGGGCTCACTCAGTGCCCCGAAATCTATCAAACTACCGGCTTTGACTTCGTGGAAGTCGAAAGACAGTCTGCCGGAGCGGTTCACAGATTATGATGATTCCGGCGCGGCGTGGGTTGGTAAGTTACTCACTGGTACACTCATCACAGGAGGAAAAGTAGCTGATCTTCGCAGATGCCAACCACATGACGACTCTCAACCCTCGAACCCCGACAAGTCTACCCGTCCTCTACGCCGATGAATACGGATTCCACAACGGCGTCCGTCTATGGCGCGGGTACTTCAACGGAACAGCGACAGGAGCCTTTATCAACGTCCAAGGAGGATCCGCATTGTAAGTTCCACAGCAACAACCACATTAAACCAACACAATACTAACCTGCTATTTCCAGCGGCTGGTCCGCCTGGCTGAACGGCGAATTCCTCGCCTCCTACCTCGGTGACGCCACCACATCCCAAGCAAACCTAACCCTATCATTCACAAACGCAACCCTGAAAACCGACACGCCAAACATCCTCCTAATTGTCCACGACGATACAGGCCACGACCAAACCACCGGCGCCCTTAACCCGCGCGGCATCATGGACGCAAACCTCCTCGGTTCTGACTCGGGCTTCACACACTGGCGCCTAGCCGGGACCGCGGGCGGAGAGTCCGATCTGGATCCGGTGCGCGGCGTGTACAATGAGGACGGACTATTTGCCGAGCGCGTTGGATGGCATCTACCCGGCTTTGACGACTCAGCCTGGGGAAAGGAGGTGTCCACTAAGGATTCGACGTCTGTTCTTAGCTTCGAGGGCGCGACGGTTCGCTTCTTCCGCACTACCATTCCCATTTCTATCCCTGCGCACACTGATGTGTCTATTTCGTTTGTGCTTTCTACGCCAGCAGGCGTGACGACGAAGTATCGGGCTCAGTTGTTTGTTAACGGGTACCAGTATGGAAGGTATAATCCTTATATTGGAAATCAGGTTGTTTATCCTGTTCCTGTGGGAATATTGGATTATACCGGGGAGAATACGATCGGTGTTGCGGTTTGGGCGCAGAGTGAGGAGGGGGCTAGTATTGGGATTGACTGGCGGGTTAATTATGTTGCTGATAGTTCGTTGGATGTTGCTTCGATGGACACTAAGGATTTGAGGCCTGGGTGGACAGAGGAAAGGCTGAGGTTTGCTTGAGTACAGTACCTCAAAAGGTGGCTGTGGTGAAATCATTTAGATATAGCACCTAGTATTCTACGTGTTATAGTACATATCATTTTGTGATATTCTCAATATCTATTACAGTTCCTAGTCTAGGAGGCATACTATAGCCAAACAGCCATTGAAAACAAGGACATTATGATCGTGAGCCAAATCCCTTGATTATTCGCACTGCATAAAGTCCCAAATCCAAATTATATCCAATCTTAAACCAAGAAACGGAAACCACGACGGCTTCCTTCACCAGGAACAGCACCCTCAACCTCCTCGCCGCGATCGAGCTTCTTATTGAGACGAACGAGCATCAATCGGAGAACCGTCGCAGAAACAATAGCGATAAAAGCCGTTGCGCAGTTGACAGCCATGGCAGGAACTAGACGATAATTTAGTTACGATTGCTAGAAACCAAACCAACGATAGAGAATCACATACCAAACCTTGGAGCATGAGAGTTAGGATACATATAGCTAGCATAGATACTGCTGGCATTGCTAACACAGTTGATTGCCGCCAGAGCAGCGGCGCGCTTCGCAGCTGGACGAGGCAGGGTATTTGAGATCCAGCCGAGAGCGACAACGTAGCCGGAGTAGAAAGACGGCACCATGAGCATCATCGCCACATAACGGGGCGCAGTAGCTGTAGTCGTAGCAGCAATGATGAATGCCACGACGGAAATATACAACGGTGCGGTGACGTGGAAGTACCGCTCTCCAGTGCGGTCTGCATGCCATGCGTTGGCAAAGGCGCAGATCACGGCCAGACAATAAGGCGGAGCTGTCAGTAGCAAGGTCTCGATGTTGCCGAATTCGAGTGTTTTGACGACTGTCGGGAAGAAGTTGGTGACCGAGGCGGAGGAGACAATACACAGGATCATGAGCATCAAGACCCAGGTCTTGATGTCTGCGAAGGCGAGCTTGGCTCCGTGTAGGAATGTCTGGTGCTCGCTGTCGACCCAATCGTCTTCGCCTATATCTTCTTCTAGCCGCCACACAGCCAGTTGTTTCTCTTCCTCTGAAAGCCAGCTGGTTGTGCGGGGGAAGTTGGGGAGAACGAAAACCGCGATAAATGCAATCGCAATAGTGACAGCACCCTCGATAATGAATAGCCACCGCCAGGCGCGCATTCCTAGCACGTTGTCCATGTTGCTAGTGATGCCTGCTGCGATTAGACCCGAGAAAGCACCCGAGAGCAAAGAGCCAGAGTACAGCGCTGCAGTGCGGAAGCCCAGCTCCTTGCGGGTGTACCAAACACTCAAGAAGTACAAACAGCCTGGGAAGTAGGCGGCCTCGACGAAACCTAGGAAGAAGCGGATGACCACGAGACCGGCGTAGCTATGGGCAGCGGCTGTAGCGGTGGAAATGACACCCCAGAGAACCATGGCAACAGGGAGGTAGATGGCTGGTTTGCCGAATTTGTTTAGCATTAGGTTGGATGGGATCTGCATCAACAGATAACCGACGAACAATATGCTGACGCAGGTCGCGAACTGGTTGCCCACAAGACCTAGGTCTTCCTCGAGGCCTGCTAGTCGAGCCGAGGCGATGTTGTTTCTATCGAGGTAGTTGAGGATGTACATGATGATTATCATGGGTAATAGACGTATGTCAATCTTGCGGACGAGGGCTTTCTCGGCTTTTGCTCGTTCTTCGGGCGTCAAGTTGGCAACGTAGGCCGGTGCTTCTTTCTGAGGGTTGGGCCTGTCATAATTGGCGACTACTTCGACATTGTCGATGCCAGCCTTGTCAATACCTCCCACTTGGATGTCTGAGTTTCCGGGAGACATCTTGGTCTGTTGTTTGCTTTCCCAGTGTGAGAAAGGAGGAACTAGGAAGATGAGAGAAGGGTTGAAATAGGCTAGAGTACACCAGCTAACTTAATATGCGACTCTAATCCAAAGATAATATAGAGGAAGCAAGGGATATAAGAACAAAAGCACAGGTGGAAAGTGAGACTCGGCAAGTCGGGGTTGCGAATGAGAGATGGTCATATATCCTACAAGAGATATGTGGCGTCGCCAAGGGAGAGAGGGATAACCCAAACCTGACAAATGTCTCAAAGATCTTTTCCCCGCAAGAAAAAGGGAAATGTCAGACCCCGGACTTATGGCGACCATACTATTCGGTCACGGACTTTTTGCGGGGCAAAGTGACAGATGGTTGTAGAAAAGATCATCTCCCCGTGTGGGGGATGCTTCTCGTATTCAAGCTTATTTAAGAGATTCCGTGGGGTCCAATATGCGTGGTGTCTTTTCTAGAATCATAGGTGAATCTATAATTCCCTTTGTATTATTGGCATTTGTCTTCTATCGAGTTAGGGCTAGATCAGAGGGATCGTAGCCGGTAGCATTCGTCATTATAATCACATGTAAATCATCAATATCAAGTGTTCGTTATCACATTCATTTTAGTCGAACACATTTAGACTGCAGAGCTCAGGCCCAGAGTTGAACGTTTCTCAGCAATGTCTTCTGGGAGCTGCTGGATTCAACGCTTGAGAACCCAATATCAACACTAATTCAATACTCGACCCCCACACATTCAAACAGAATGCTGTTCCCAATAGCAATGACATGTGGAAGTTTCAAGTTCCGACTCCTCTTATTGTTCTAAATTCCAATCCCGAGGTTCTCGGTTTCCCGGTCCCTTCATTCCTTTTTCCTTCAGGGATTTCGGACCGAGACAAGACATTCCTGAAGAGAGAATATAACTGGTATGAAGAATGCAACAGGTCATTATAAGGAACCTTATTTCAAGCCCCGGATTCACTGGTTGCGACTAAACCTCAACTTCTGATGTTGGATAATACGTAGGTTACGCGAAATATAAATAGTCGTCCTCTACTACGCTATACTTGAGCATTGAAGTTCCAAACATATACTTTGAATGATCTTTCTACTTCTACTAGTAATTACCAGTTGCGAGGTCGCCTTAGAGTACCTGGTGTCCGAGCCAAGAGCCAACCATATTCAAAAGGTTTCAATTTCTACTCTACTGGTAAATACTGGTACTAGATGTACCTCTTGTCTATGTGGCGAGTCGAAAATGTTCAGATATTTCTTCTCAGACTCTTTCTATAATCTAGTCATATTTGATGGTATATCATCATTGCTTTGCCTGGGTTAGCTTGCAACCTGAGAACAGGGCAAGGTGCAAAATCTCGAGATCGACAATGGAAATATATATTTTTGAAATAATTTTGGCATACAACATGGATCTCGTGTATCTACCCTATGCCCCAAATTATTACAAACACAACAGTACTAGGAACTACAGTAATAGTATAATAATCAGAAGGAGCAACATAAATTGAATCTGCGCAGCCGACGAGAACCGCCCATTATACACAGTTACACAATATAACAGCCCAAGAGATACAAAAGAAGACATGCCAGAGACGGAATACAACAAGGCTTCTACATTGGATCCAGAGGAGCTTAGTGAGTGATAGATATGAAAGGGTCTAGAGATGACCATGAGGAACGATGTGCTAGAAGGACAGGAGAATAAAGAGAGAAAATTGAAATAAAATGAAAGAACAAAACAGTCCAGTAACCCACGCTCCCAATACTTAATGACAATGACTCAAATGCACACGATGCAGAATAGAGAGAACAGAATAATAAAAAATAAAAAAATCGACGGCAAAGTGAGGACTATGCACCGCCACACCGATTAGATGGTAGGAGGAACATTCATTAGATCGATGCCTAAGATAGGAAGATCTCAGGTTTTGGATGGACGCTATGCTAGAGACCACCGTTTTTTGGTTGACGGAATATCCGCCGGAAGCACGATTGTATTGGTCAAATCGCTCCGAAGAGAGTACACCAATCCATAGAATCAATTAAGATCCGCCCGGACAGCATAGCTTCTGTTCAACGCGATGAAGAAATCATCAAACACCTTATTTCGCCGGAATTGATGCATGTCTAGACAAGAATGCAGGCTCGGTGGATAGAAACCTATGGCTAGGTTCAGGTCACCGAGCAACGCTAGAGACTCCCGCCCAAAACTTAAATGAAGTGTGTGTAGATCTTGGAATTCTCATGGACTTCCATCTCCTGTACTGTTGTTAGTATTGGCACAATTGAAGTACAAAAACAATGCAAGCAACTCACCATCTTAAAGTTATTGATCTCCTCCCGAATCTGTTGGGCAAGCAGCGGGGTGAGACGGTTGCAAGTCGCAATCTCTCCACGTCGATCGTACTCGCCGCTAGGCCAAGTTTCGTGGAACTGGATGCGAGGACTGAAGACGATATTTCTACCACCAACAGTGGATGGGGTAATGGGTGCACTCTTGGCCTCAGAAGCCGAGTACCGCCCTGCGCTCGAGAGGAAGTAGTCCTCCCCGGCAATCTTCACCGGATCATTTTGGTGGGCAGGGGATCGGGCCGCCTCATCGGGTGTTGGAGGAGCACTAGAGTGCGGTGAGTCACCACCGGCGAGTGCGTACGCAGGCGAAGAGACACCGAGGTCCGAGTGAGTTTCTAACCAGATCAGTCAGTACGCCAAGACATCAAATGTATTGTGTGGAAATACGCACTCTTCAAGATGCCCTTCCGGACGGCCGCCAGGATTTCTGCCCGTTCTCGGTCTCCTCCCACAATGCTCTTACGCGACTGGGAGTTCTCTGATGCGGCTCTTTCCCGAATGGAAGCGGATCGTCTGACATCCGCGTTGCCCTCAAACTTGGGGAAGACAGTACCCCCACGAGGTAAATCTGCAGGGTCAGGGTTGACAACGACGCTCTCCCGTTCTGCCTCGACGTTCACCACAGTGATCTGTGGGGGTGAAGCTTCGGGAGCCGCACCCTCCATGGAACTGATGCTGGCCACCGATTTGGGACGGAACATCCCAACTAATGAGCGAGTGGAGCGCTTCACGCCTTTGCCCATCTTGCGAAGCATCATCGACGCCGATGAAGCGGTCGATGATACCGACAGGTTATCGGTGGACCCAGTGAAGAAGTGGCCTT